AAAAATATTCTAATTTTGAATTTAGCAATTTTTAAAATACTATCATTAGGTAATTTATCCAAATGGAAGATTCTGGCTTAAGGCATTTTTGACAAAATTGGTTTATTAGTAGCAGTGTGTATGTATAATTTGTTAAACAACACTTATTTTTACTTGTATTATTACAGTATTGGCTCATTCTTCTTCAATCAAAAAAAAGTACTTTTGGCCAGGCATGGTGGCTCATGCCTGCAATCCTTGGGAGGTGGAGCGGGAGTATTGCTTGAGGCCAGGAGTTCAAGATCAGCCTCTGGCAATAGCGAGACCCCATCTCAACAAAAAATTTCTCAAAAAAATTAGCCAGGCATGTTGATACCCGCCTGTAGTCCCAGCTACTCCCAAGGCTGAAGCAAAAGGATTGCTTGAGCCCAGGAGTTTGAGGCTGCAGTGAGCTATGATGATGCCACTGCACTCTAGCCCAGGCCACAGAGCAAGACCCTGTCTCCAAAAAAAAAAGTCCTTTAAAAAAATACCTTCAGCACCAATATCAGTGTACTCCTCCTGCTATTATATGTATTTTAGGTATGATTAAGGTAGGAATGACCTTCATTTTTACTTGTGAAATTCTTTTGTTCCAGGCACCGGCATATGTTTGTAAAACAAATTGATATGGATCATGTCATGAAGGTAGGAGAGAGAAACTTTATGTAATACTTTCATTTCTTCTTTTCTTTCCAAGAATAGATATAATTTATTTTTGTTTTTCAGGCTAAGTCCATCAGAGAGTTTGATAAACGATTCACTTCAGTCATGTTTGGATACCCAACAATCGACGATTATTATACCGATGCCAGTCCAAATCGTAGACTGAAGTCGGTAGCAATTCCAGTGTTGTGTCTGAATTCTGTGGATGATGTTTTCTCACCTAGTCATGGTAAAATTAACATCTTTGTATCCATTTTGACATGAATTAACTTTTAAAAATACTGTTCTTAGGCCAGGCATGACCGTAATCCCAGCACTTCAGGAGGCTGATGCGAGAGGATCACTTGAGGCCAAGAGTTAGTTCAAGACAAGCCTGGGCATCATAGTGAGCAAAAAAATAAAAATAAAAATAAATTAACTAGGTGTGGTAGCAC